AAATTCTCTGTAATGCAATATCAAAATGTTTGGCTAAAAGAAAAGGAAACAATTTGATTGCGCTGTGACCACCGATCAATACCCAAAGCAAAAAAAAAAGTTACCTTGCACAAAAAAAAAAAAAAAACAGAACAAAATTATTGAACAGTACATTCCAATTATTATTAGAAGAGTAAATGTATGTAAATAAAATCATAGAACTTGATAATTTTAGTTTTTCTTACTATTTGCTTCATTTATTTTTAATAAATCATCTGTTTTGTTCTAATGTTATATTAGAAAAAAAATTTTTGTTGAGGTTACGTATTGGTGTAGGGTGTTGGTGGGCTATACGACTTATTTAGGCATGCTATATTACTTATTATATTTTTATAGAATTTTGGAAAAAATTTCATCATTTTATCTGCACTAGAAGTACTTTTGGCCGCTCTCCCCATACAAGCGCAACCACTGTGCGCCCCCTACTGGCCCACCACCAACTTTGAGTACCAATAGTCTGCACTTTACTCTTTCATTCGCATTTTTTTATGTTCATTTTCTCTCTGTTTTATGGTACATATATCAGTGCTTGTACCGCTTCAGGGCATACAAATTCACTTCATACTCTTCTTCATTTTTTTTTTTTTATTTATTTTATTTTTTTTTATATGTTTTTTTGCCGTCTCTCGCCTATAATCGCATCAGCCGTAGATTTGTAATATGAAGCGGAAGAAATGGTTACGGCCCTGTCACAGCCCACAGATAAATGAAAGTCATTGGGATGCGATTGCGAAAGCAATTTATTGGTATGAAGCGGTACTATAGCAACCCTAACCCGGAGCACAGACTGTTGAGCTTTTCATTCTGAAAGGGGATACACATTATCAATATTGAGTGTCCTAGACAATATAAATGTCGTGGTTAGAGAATTAACTTAATACACCTGAAGTTGAAACAATAAAAACTGAGAGAGAGAGAGAGAGAGGAGAAATAATGAGAGAGAGGATTAGAAATAATGAAAATTGGAAAGACTGATAGTAGAATGTGAGACAGACATGACCACAGACTGACGAGAAAAGAAGAAATGAGAGAGATGTATATAAATATAGTGAAATGCCTACAGAATAAAATAAAGCACTACTGTAGATCGAACGAACGAGAGATGACTACAGATCGAAAGAGAGAGAGAGAGATGATTGCAAGGAGAAAGAGAGAGAGAGAGACAATACGCGTAATAGAAGCTGAATTAAAAGGCAGGCTGAAAAGGGAAACGAATAAAGAGAACATTGGAGAAGATTATGATAAAAGTTCATAATATAACAGCAAACAAAATGGGAGAATCACGATATCAAATAGTTGCCTAAGAAAGTACAAGATGAGCAGATGTCAGATGGTGCCAAATATTTATATACATTCAAATATGAAATGAGTGTGCAGGAAAAATAAAAGAGTTGGTGAACTTAAACCACAAACTAACAGCTTATGAATGGTGGTCAAATGATTTTTAAGCACTCAGATTACATGTTAGATGTCATAAAATATGGGATTACATATGAGCTTGAACAACATTTTCTATGCAAATTGTTAAAATCTAATGTCACGCTGGAGTTTGAAGTTTGGAGACTGTGCAAATGTAAGAACATCATCATTGCATCAATGTTTGTCATCATGAAGCAGCAGAAATGGCAACGCAACAGCCAGGGAAAAACTTTGCGCTGCTCTCAACTGTTCTCTGTGTGCGGGTGTGGGTGTGGGTGTTGGTGGGTGGGTAAATCTATTTGTGTGTGTGTGTGTGTGTGTGCCTGTGGGTGGGTGTTTATAGGTTGGAGTTTGTACTTTTAACGCCCAAACAGATTTACCCGTATCAGTGGCAAAGCAGACGCTGTGGCTAACATGAATTGGTCGATACGGGGCCTGAGGGGACGATGATATGAAGAGCTGCCATTTAGCCACGTTTTGTTTGTGTTTTAAGCGCATCTTGTGCTTTGCTTTGTCTATATAGATAGGTATATATACATTTATCTATATATACTGAAGCGACTTCTATGTACATTCTACGCTCATTTATGCTGTCTGATAGCCTTGGGGCATATTCATATCCGTTGTCTTTTTAGCTAACTGCAACGGCGACTTGAATTTGAAAATTATGCAGCGAGCTGCTTACTGCTTGCTACATGCACTCTGTTTGTTGATCAACTCGATTATACTAAGGACTGAGTCCTGCCAAAGACTATGCAATGTTTATCCATGTCTGGAGATAAAGCAAAGTCTATTGTCTATGTGCAAGGGTATATCTATAAATATATGTGTATATCGATTTATAGTTACTGAAATTGCAGTCGCGACTTGTGCTTGACTTTATTTTGCATTTGCCTTCCGTTTGACCCTTTTATCATTGATTGTCCTTTTTTATGGTCTGCATCGCACCAGAATGGTTTTCATTGTAGGACTTTTTCTTTCTTTTCTATTCATATTTCTTTTTCAAACCATTTCTATTGAATTTTTATTTTGTTTTATTGGTGGCCGCAGTCGATTCTTATATTTACTAATTGTTTGACATGCTGCCCTGTTTTCTTTGGTTTTCATTTTTCTAAAATATACTAAGCTTGTAAATAAAATTCAATATATGTAAATTAAAGTATTCGTAATTCAAAAATTCAAGAAACTTATTATATCTCATATTGAAAATTTAAGATATCATAAATTACCTTTTTAATTTATGCTGTCATATGGAAAATGATCATACATATTTTTTAATTCCATTAAAATTTGCTTATCCACTTGTCGCTTGCCAAACTTTGGCCAGATTCATCATAAAGTTTTCTTTCCGAATTATGCATTATCATCCGGGGCTAATGACATGCAACGTAGTGCAACGAACATTGTTTGCTTCAGCGGACCGGAGCAACGCGAACATGAGAAACAAACATAAAACTAAATGAAATTTCATTAAAACGTAGAAAAGAAATTTAGCAAACATTTTAAAATTTCAATTTATACTTAATTATATTCACAGAAAAATTACTGTAAACTAAAGAAAATAATATCGAAACAAAAAGGAAAAAATAAATAAATAAAAAGAAAACATATATAATAAATAATAATAACAAAAACATCCAATTAAAAAAAAATTCAACGCTCATTAAAAAAAAATTAATTTAGTTATATTTTATCTTTATGCATTAATTACAATATAAACAAGTAATTTTATATTATATTTTATATATTTTTTCAATATTAGTTCTTGCTCATCTATTCTCATTTCTGAACTGTTTTAATCATATACTAAGTTATTTAAATATTATTATATTTATTACTTTAATTTTTTTATTTATTTATTTTTTTTTTTCATTCGTTTTTGGTCCGAGTTTCTCCTTGATAATTAAGCTGTATGCTCAAGTTTTGCGTGCGAGAGTTTCTGTTTCTGCTGTGCGTGTTGTGTGTGTGGGCGTGGCTATAGCTCGTAATGTTGCTTATATTAGCAGCTTGTGTGATAATGCCTCTGTCCCAGCCCAGTCCCGAGCCACCCTGTCTGATATGAGATCTTGTGTAATGAAAGCAACATAATTACTCAGGCTCAGCAATATCTTTGCTTGGGTAATGTTGAATTGTGCGTGAAATGAGTTTGTGCTTAGAGCTGGATGGGAGTAGTGAAAATGAACAAATAAAATAAGAAATATTAACATTTGATTATATATTGGTCTTCTTTTAATATAAATTGTTCACCTGTTCTATTG